AACTAACATAACTTTAACCAACTCTAACTGCAACTATAACTAACTGTAAATATAACTAACTGTAGTGTAGCTGTAACTATAACTAACATAACTTTAACCAGCTGTTTAAGGTCAGGCTGTAAACCTGATCACCATCTGTGTGACCTTTGACCTGCAGGATCAGGTGTGTAATGATGTGGAAAAAAGGCTCCTCCTCCTGGAGGATGGTTGGAGATCAGGCCGACTGAGCCTTCCCGTCAGGAGACGCATGGACGCCCTGTCTCAAGGTTACCTGTCTCATCTCACCTTAGTGTGTCAGCACCTGTCTTTGTCCACCTGTCTGAACACTCACCTGTCTGTCTCTCAGAGTTGCAGTCGGGTCACTGGGACGCAGCTGATGAAATCCATCGCTCTCTGATGGTCGATCATGTGACTGAGGTCATTCAGTGGATGGTCGGCGTCAAACGAATCATTGCTGAGACACGAAATCTGAGTCCAGAACTCCTACGACTGCTTCTTTACCCTGCAGGGGTCCAGGAGCCTGTAGAACCAGTCCAGCAGCCTGCAGGACCAGTCCAGGAGCCTGTAGAACCAGTCCAGCAGCCTGTAGGACCAGTCCAGCAGCCTGCAGGACCAGTCCAGGAGCCTGTAGGACCAGTCCAGCAGCCTGCAGGACCAGTCCAGGAGCCTGCAGGACCAGTCCAGGAGCCTGCAGGACCAGTCCAGCAGCCCGTCTCTCATTCCTGACTCAACAGCAGGTTTCCTTAGTCTCTTGATAAACTTTGACTCTTTGAACCATCTCCAGGACCTGGTGGCAACAATCCTCACATTCACACTTCAGCAGAGGTTCAGCAGTTTGCTCAAGGAAACTTCAACAAGGATGGACGTATTGTTCAAAATGAAACCCTTCTGTTCCTGACTCTGCAATATGAACCATCAACATCTGGATTCTGGATCTTAGACTCTTTGACATTTTGGCTATTATTGGTGTCTGGACCACAGACTGTTAATAAAAACAGATGTAGACTCCAGGTCCAGAGAGTGAAGCCGATGTGAAGTGTCTGAAACCTGTCTTCTGTGTAGTGACCAGCAGGGGGCAACTCCTCTGGTAGTTTCTATAGAAGTCTATAGAAAATGAACTTCAGGGAACTTCAGAGTCTAAACTTTAAACTCTAAACTTTAGACTCTAAAGGTCAGAGTCCGAACTGTCTCAGCCTCTAGTCACCATGTTCTGCTCCTTGTTGTTTCCTCACTTCCTGTTGTATAAAGCTGTTTCCTGTGTGAGCTGCCTCCTGCTGCCATTCTTTGATCATGTTTCCTTATTGTTTCTGCTTCAGATTTACTGAAGAGTGCAATGTCCAAGACTTCTTCATGATTCACAGATAATAAATCCACCTTCACTGCTGTTTATTCCTCTGTGTGCTGGTATCCACATGAACATGAACACAATCTTCTCAAATGTCTCATTAAATCCAACTGTTGGATGAAAATAACTTTACTGACATTAATGCTGAACATGAATCTGTTCACAGAACAACTTCCTGGTTCCTAGCTCTTCACTGTGATGCTGCTGCCGTCGTTAGCATCTCCACCGTTTGAACTGACCAATGACCTGATCCTGATCACTGAAACTCTGAAGTCTGGTTTACTGAAACCAGAACCTGTTCTTCCTGTGATAGGATCTTTGGATCATCTGAATAAACTGGAACAAATGTTACAATCTCTACGTCCTTTTTCCAGAAAAAAGAAATCAGGCGACACTGAGGGAAACAGTTCAAATGATTGAAACTATTTGTTCAAATAGTTTCAATCATGGCGTCTCAGCTGTCAATCATGAGCCTGTTTTTATATCAACAATAACTGATTCAAACCAAACTGATCAGAAACACTTGAACAATCAGCAGTGAGATAAGAACGAGCCGAAATGATCGAAACATCTTAACAAACATTTATTTAACATCTACTTTGATTTTTTGTTTGGTCAATGTCCCATCTGCTAACATGGAGGAGGTTCATGACCTATACTGCAGCCAGACAGCAGGGGGTTAGGGTTCCAGATGATTTGGCTTCACTTTTGGAGAGCTATCATGTCACCCATCTTTATTGACACACCAGCACACCCTGCTGTGATTGGGCACATGTTTGTGATGTAAACTTTCTGATTTACTCTTTTTCTTTTTAAAGTTCTCTGAGAAAAGTCTTGGCTTTGGACAATCTGAGGATGTTTTCTGAACATTAGAGCATGAAAACATTGAACATTGAACATATGAACAGAATGTTGTTCCGTGCAGTCTGTAATGTAGCCTGCAGCCTGTAGGAGGCGTTAACAGCCTGTTGGTCTCTGAAAGACGAGTGTGGAGGTTATCATCTCAGCTCCTGGAATTTTTCGGATGTTTGCAGCTTCCAGCAGAGCTCAGTACGAACTCTGCTGACCAATCAGCTCTGCCTCACTCCTCTCCAGGGATTAAGAGGAGGAGGGAGAGGAGGGAGAGGAGGGAGATGCTCAAAAAGTGGAAGACAAGCAGAAATGATGAGTGACAGAAAGAAAGAGAAGCTCGTCCCACAGAGACAAACAAGCCTTAAAATAGACCCAGCGAAAGAGGAGAGGAGGAGAGCTCGGGCCTCAGGTCAGAAACTGAAACTCTTTATTCATCGTCACAGAATCAATCTCAAAACAGCAAAAACATTTCAAACAATGAACATTACAGCTTAGAAATCATGTGGATCGCCCCCTGGTGGCTGGCTGCAATACAGGTCATAACGCCCTACTCCTCCAGTAGATGGACACGAACCAGCGACGTTAAATAAATGTTGAAAGATGTTTGTGTCATTTCAGCTCGTTCTTCTCTCTGATGTTCGTTCAAGTATTCTCATCAGTTTGGTTTAATCAGTTATTGATCATAGAAAAACAGTTGTCACCCGCTAATACACAAGAACAACATGCAGTTGTGTTAGTAGATAAATAGTATTAGCAGTATCAGTAGAAGTGTATTAGAGTTTCAGCAGTAATAGTATTTGTAGTCTCAGTACTAGTATGTACATTGTATATTATCAATAGTACTGCAATTTTTGTCCCTGAATACTCCTCCAGATCTGGCGGTGTTTGCAGTCTTACTTTCCAGCACAGACAGAGGATGCAATTACCATGACGACTGTGTGTGTGTATGTGTGTGTGTGTGTGTGCATGTGGGTGGGTGGGTGGGTGGGACCTGGCCTGTGATTGGCTGACAGGAGGAGTGGGCGGGCAGGTTGAGCATCTGAAAGCGTCACTCAGTCTCTCTCAGATCAGGACAGAGAAGCACTGCTCTCCTCCTCTCTCCATCATCCCTCCATCTTCCTCCTCCTCCATCCAGAACTCTCTCTCTCTGTCTTCTGTCTTCTCTCCTCCACCCTGAAGACAGGTCGAACTCTTCATCAGCACCATCATCATCATCCTCCAAGGAACAGGGAGCCCTCTGACCCTAGCCCCGCCGGGTCACCATGGCAACGGTCATCTGCACTCGTTTCACCGAAGAGTATCAGCTGTACGAGGAGCTGGGCAAGTGAGTGTCATCCTCATCTTCATCATCAATTAACTTTTCCCAGGTTTTTACATTATTGATATTTGACAGTGACTATGTATTGATATGTCCTATTTAATTATATTTATACCGATGTGTAGGCTCTAGTTATCTTATACATTTCATACTTCTATTATAAATGTTTTCATTGTTAGTTACAAAATAAGAAGTTGATAATCATTTGTATTGATTTTAATTCATTCAGTTGAAATTATAACATCACTTTTCTATGGGACTGATCACAGACATGTATACATATATATATATATATACATATATGTATACATATATATAAACATATATGTATACATATATATATATATACAGAGAGAGAGAGACAGATTATTGATTGTGTTGAAGACAGATAGACAGACAGACAGATAGATAGATAGATAGATAGATAGATATATGAATAGATAGACGGACAGACAGATAGAAAGGTAGATAGATAGATTGATGAATAGATAGATAGATTAAAGTGAGACCTTTTTGACCTCATCCTACTCACCACCCACCCACACACCCACACACACACACACACACACACACACACACTATGCCAGGTCTCTTACATAATGTGATGGTGGGAGGAAGAGCAGCTTTCATAAGAAACACACTCAGGAGCTTTTCTCTACGAACAGTCACAGCTCCACAGAGCAGGAAACATAATCATATATATAATATATATATATATATAATCATAAAGAAAGCATTATTGTTATTATTATTATCGTTATGATTGTGATACCGATTATTAGAACAATATTATTATATATATATATTGAATACAATTTGCAGTATTAACAGTAGTGGTGTTAGCATTAGCTGCAACTGTACCAGTAGCATCTTCAGTGTTGTCATCATGTGGAAACAATGTTGTTCATTGGTTCATCCTGCTTTGTTTCCAGGGGAGCGTTTTCGGTGGTGCGGCGCTGTGTGAAGGTGTTGTCAGGTCAGGAGTACGCCGCCAAGATCATCAACACCAAGAAACTGTCTGCCAGAGGTGAGCACCAATGAGCAGTCAACAGGTGAATGACAGGTGATTGTCATATTGAAACAGGTAATTAGATTTTTGATAACCTCCGACCAGTCAACTCCCTAAACACACACACACACAGACACACACACACTCAGTCACACACAAAAACAAACACACACACATTGATTTTTCTTTATTTCTGTTATTTTTTTCTAGATCAGAATTTCCTTTGGTTGCTTAGCAACACCCTGAAAAGTTAACAAAGAAGTGTGTGTGTCTGTGTTTATGTTTATGTGTGTGTTTTTATGTTTATGTGTGTGTGTTTATGTTTATATGTGTGTTTTTATGTTTATGTGTGTGTGTTTATGTTTATATGTGTGTTTTTATGTTTATGTGTGTGTGTTTATGTTTATATGTGTGAATTTGTTTGTGTGTGTGTTTGTGTGTTTATGTTTGTGTGTGTGATTGATTGATGGAACCAAGCAACAGTCAACACTGTAACAACACCTGATCAATAATTGTGTGTTTGTGTTGTAGATCATCAGAAGTTGGACCGTGAGGCTCGGATCTGTCGTTTACTTAAACATCCAAACATTGGTGAGTAAAAACTACATCAAATGAGAATATTACTACAAATACTATTATGAGTACTAGTACTACTGCTGCTGCTGCTGTATACTAATATGATGGTGATATTGATGTTAGCCTGTTAGCCTGCATAGCTTTATTCATTTACTCAATTTTATTTTTAGAGTTACTTCACACTTTCACAATAAAAGGTTTTGCATCAAGTGTTCAAACATCCGAACAATCAGCTAGCTAAAGCTGAACTGAGTCCACAGAGCTGAGTCCACAGAGTGTCCACAGAGCTGTGAGTCCACAGAGCGTCCACAGAGCGTCCACAGAACTGTGAGTCCGCAGAGCTGTGAGTCCACAGAGTGTCCACAGAACTGTGAGTCGCATCCACAGAACTGTGAGTCCGCAGAGCGTCCACAGAGCTGAGTCCACAGAGCATCCACAGAACTGTGAGTCCACAGAACTGTGAGTCCACAGAGCGTCCACAGAACTGTGAGTCCGCAGAGCGTCCACAGAACTGTGAGTC